TATCAAGTTTGACTTTTTGCTGCATTATGAGGTCTTGTTCTCCTCGGCTTAGAATATCCGCCTTCTGGTTATTCTTGCCCGCGGTGTACGTAATGCAGAAGTTGAAGTCGGAGAGTAGCTCCATCCATCGAACCTGCTTCGCGGTGAGAACTTTAGTTGACATGAAGTATTCCAGCGAGTGGTGATCAGTGTATACATCGACTCAGTGTTGTACCGAGGCCAACTCAGGCCTCTATTTTGCGAAGGCTTTCACAATTGCAAATAGTTCCTTGTCGTGGATCTCCCAGTTGATCTTATGTCTGGATAGGACGTGACTGTAGAAGCTTACGGGGTACCATCGCTTGTCAGGGTGTTCTTGGGACAAGACTCCAGCTACAACTCCATCGGAGGAGTCAGTTTCCAGTTTCGTGGGCAATTCGGGGTTGAAGTGGTGAAGTCCCTGTACCGCTAAAAGTTGTCATCGCAATTCTTCGAATGCATTCTCACATTCGTCCACCGGAACAGCTCCGAAGGACTAGTAATATTTGTGAGGGGCTTTGCTATTTTGCCGAAATCTCGGATGAATTGCCGATAGAAGCCACAAAAGCCTAGGTACGACTTCACACCTGTAACGGTAGTCGGTGGGATCCACTTGCGAAGGGGCTCAATCTTATCCGGGTCCGCTTCAACACCGGAAGTCGTAAGGACATATCCTAAGTACTTCGTCCGGGTAATGTTAAACTCATATTTCTTTATGTCGGCTTGGAGTCTGGCTTCTCGGAGGCATTGTAGGACCTTATGCACATGATATACGTGTTCCGTAGGGTCCTCTGAATAGGATAGGGGACGCGAAGGTGCTGTTGCTGTTGACGATGAAGCCTTTCTCTAGGTTTTCTAACAGGTATTGCTTGGTAGCCTTAAGTTCTTCAGTGCCCTATCGGTATAACAGGGAGAAAGCATTTGGTAAAGGGGCTTCGAGTTGTATCTTGTGGTCGAATATACAGTGTGGGGGAATTCGATCTGATTCCAACTTCAAAAAGACATCAGTGTACTTCTGGTGCATATGCGGAAGCTTCTGCTGGATAAGGCGGAGCGTTTCTTCGTCCACTATCAACTCCTTTTCATGGATGATCTGGTCAATTTCGTAGATGCTAGTCTGAAAGAACTCAGAGTCACTTCGCATCATCTCGTGATGGAAGGCATTGGCACTGATTTCACATATCCGTATGGGTGTGAAACTAGGTACCAGTTTCACTAGTAGTGGGGGGGGAACCTCTTGGTTTCGGGTAGGACTCGGTGGCAAGTCGGTGATCTCTTCATATCCTGAAGTTATCACTTTCATGTTCATCGAGCGTCTGCCTGCGTGGCGTCTGTCTTCGCGGTGAATTGCAGCATCCCTGTGATTCGCATCCGGCTGGTATGCGGGATGTCGAATGGACGTTTCTCGCATGTAGTAGGGCAAGGTGATCTCTTTGCTCCAGCTAGGAGTCGGCGGGTACTCCTTTGGCCATACTAACTGGCTCTTTGCAGAGTCGAGTAGTATTCGGAAGCAGCTGAAAAGCTTCTTCCCAATTATCACATCTTGTGCTCCGAGGTCCAGGAGTACAAAGGGGCAGTTATATATCCAGCGTCCTTCGACTGTTAAGTGTAACCGAATATACTCTGACACGTGGCCTTGGATTTTGCGCTGAAATCCACGTATGGGTACAAAGTAGGGTAGTTTCCATATGCGGCTCTGAAGTGCTTTCGACAGTTGTATTGCGAAAGGCTTATTAATGATGATGTAGCCATTTGCTCCTGTGTCTGCTAGGGACTTTGTTTGCACCCTGAGTCCATTCATACTCAGGGTCGTGTTGACTATGTTACGATATCAAGTGCGCCTTGCAGCTCGAGTGGGGGTTCAGGGGTGTGGGGAGCTTTCCGGGGTTGGAGCGAAGTTTTCAGTTGTGGAGTGAATTCTCAGAACTGGTCTCGCTAAAGAGAATTCACTCCACAATAGCTGTATATAGATCGAGCCACTGCTCGAGTGCTCCTCTTCTCTTTCCTTTCTTCTCTAGATTGAGTTTAATTCATAATACCCAACTGGCGCCCTATGCCTTGGTGAACCGTGACAGACTAAGAACTGGGTACCTCCCAGGAGTTCTTGAAAGTCTAGTCCTCGCAGGTCACATTTGCGTAGACCTAGGAAGGAGCCTTCTCCTAGGCCTCGTCGTTTTCCTCGAGGGATGCATCCGATTGAAGTTCCACGGCTTCCTCCCATTGTTCTTCTGCTTTGGGGTCATTACGGTCGATTTCCTTGACAGTAGCGTTGAGCGGGCATTTGTCCTGGAAATGGCCGGGCTTGCCACACTTGAAACAGTTCCCTGAGGGCGCAGGGACTGCAGTTCTCACACGTTCCGGTATGGCTGGCTTGGGGAGGAACGTGGTTCGGGTGAACAGAGCGGGTGTGGCTCGAGTCGGCTTCTATGCCGACGCCTTTGCCGTATCTGTAGTACATGTGGACGTCCTTGCGAGATCGGGTAGCGGATTCAATTCATTGTTCCGGCGCCGTTCCTGATCGAAGGCGGTAAGTTCTCGTACCATGGTCTGGTAGTCTCATTCCATTGGTTTTTGATGATCGCGACGCGGCTGCGGAATTGGGGAGTCAACTTGTTCCACATGTACTGAAACCATTCCGACTCGGAGACTTGTCCTGTGATAGCTGCACTTTGGAAACGAGCCTTGAACTCTGGGAAGGTTTCGCTAGCATGCCCTTTCTCTCCCATTTGCAGGTCGTCGAAGAGGTTCCTGGACTGTTCCGTCTCATTGCCTGTGAGGTAGTATGAACCTAGTAGATCCATCATCTCCAGCACTGCAGAACCCATGCGTAGTGGACAGGTATTGGGACTCTAGGTAGGTCTTCGCCAGGCCGGTTGTAGTTCCCCATATCAACACTCTTCTCGAGACGTCGGTAAGGTAGTGGTCCTCATTGACTACGAGTCAGTCCCGAATCGAAGCGCTCCATTGTAGGAAGGTATGTTCTACCCCATCGCTGAGAGGAAGGATTTTCTCAGAGATGGTTGATTTCTTATAGCGATTCGGAGGGTCCTCGGTGAGCATTCGTGATGACCTTGGAATCGATGGAGAACGAGTGTTACGAAGAGATGGCAATTGAACTGAGAAGAAAGGAAAGAGAAGAGGAGCACTCGAGCAGTGGCTCAATCTATATACAGCTATGTTGTTGTGGAGTGAATTCTCTTTAGCGAGACCAGTTCTGAGAATTCACTCCACAACTGAAAACTTCGCTCCAACCCTGGAAAGCTCCCCACACCCCTGAACCCCCACTCGAGCTGCAAGGCGCACTTGATATCGTAACAGTAGTCATTCCGGGCAGTTGACCGTCGTTGTCTTGGGGTATGTTTGATGTCGGCTTTTTCGACATATTGCCTCAGGTGTGTATCGGTACCGATACGAAAGAGCTTGACTTCCGGTAGCTCGTAGCTATCAATGCTCTTGTCCACAATTTCCTCTGTGCTAGGAGGGGGTTCTTAAGGATCTCGTATCCTATTTGGCGCCAACGCGTCGGCGACTTTACCAGCTTGTTCTGAAGAATCAAACCCTGATCCACTGGCTGTCAGTGAGCTCTCTGGAATCACGGCTATTTGAAGTCGTCAGGTCTCTCCTCTGAAACGTCACTGAGTCGCAGTCGATGGTGTAACGGTAGTTCTCCTGAGTCGTTCCGGTGTGGGATATTATTGAGGTACGGCCGTCCACGGCAGGTGTGATTTTTTTTGTATATGTTATTACTGTGAGCTGGGTGCCCTGTGTCCTTACATACAGCCTCCTACGAATGCCCCTCCGCAATAGCGCGGCCGCGGTCGCCCTCGCTGTCAGCCTCCAATCCCCATACCACTTCGCTCTATTACTCCGCACTGTACGCAGTCTACCCCTACTGAGGAGCCTCTTGCGCCTCGCCAGCCGAAGCCGCCTGGCTTTCTCTCTCGATTTGTTATGGCTGCCCCGCATGACCTTGGCCAGCTTAACCATGAGTGTGAATATTGCACTGCTCTACACTGGGTGGAGGAGGCTACGCAGGATAAGCAGTATGAGAGCTGCTGTAAAAAGTAGACGTTAACCTCCCTGCCTTACGGAGACCTCCCTTATATCTACGGAAGCTGTTTACGGACCAGAACCCGCTAGGAAGGGGCTTCCGTAAGGAGATCCCTAGGAAGGGGCTTCCGTAAGGAGATCCGCGAGTATAATAACGCCCTCGCTTTCACTTCCGTAAGCTATACTCGCAATTCGCGGATACAGCAGAACGTTGGTGTACAAAGCTTTCAAATCCATGGCGAGCTGTTCCATTACCAGGGCCTGTTACAACCTACAACCCAGGAAACACCAGCCTTTGCACAGCTGTTCTTCTACGACCCGTCGTACGCAACTGAAGCCCGTCGGAGACAACACCCGGACAGGGGTTAAGAGCATAGAACCGAGACCCTTTCGTTGGTATTCTGGTCGTACGGCCAGGATGCTCATGACTTGTTGTAATTATTAGTAATGCATACACAAGGATTGTGCCACAAATGAGAACCGGAAGGCAGTACGGACAGTAATGCGTCTCAGACACAATCCACTTCCTTCCCCGCGGAGAAACTTTGTGAAGAACTCGACAACTAGTTCTTAATTTGATCCTGGTACGTGCTGCTGCGTTCGTATGGCCGTTTCGGGGTCTTTAGCGTTCGGATCGGGAGTATGAGGATATACCCACTTGCTAAAAGCAACAATTTCGCTAACAGGTATGAGCCGGAAGATACTCCAAGGGACATAAAACATACCCGGCCTCTTCAAGTATAACCTTGAAATATTTTACTCCAGGCGCTGCAAAACTCTTGTCGAAATTCTGTATTGATTTCTCCTTCAGTAGGTCAGACCGAGAATAGAGGTATATTATGGCGGGGTCGTCGGCGAACGCTTCGTCAAATATGTCTGCGCACACAGCCACATATGACAGTTCGCAGGGAACGACTTTAAAGTTTGAGGAAGCCATGTTAGATAGTTGTATTGTAGACCATGTTAGATAGTTGTATTGTAGAGTTTTAATGGTGTTGAAACTGAAGGCCGCAGCGAAATGAACGGGGCGGGAGCCCAAGAGATCGACGACAAGGGTAGCATGTGGCATTGGGGACCAAAGCTTCGCCTCTCTTGGCATACCCTTGAACCCCCTTAAAGATGTCGACAACGTCCATATATTTACAGAAACTCCCCACTCTCTTCGTCGTCTCGCTGCAAACACCGCGCTCCAGTCTCCCTTTGGAAGAATCCCAGTCAGCATCCGGAAAGTACCTCGCCGAGAACCACGCCGACGATATAGCCAAACTCGAGAGATACATGATTTACAGCCAACGCGTGTTCTACTTCTTCCTTTTCGTAGTCTTCACCAATGTCGTGCTGACATACTTCTTGATCCTGCACCCATCCAGGCTATCTTGCAAACCCAATGCTGAATTATGCGCAGCATGTGCGGAAGCCAACCCTTCATGGACCGACCTCCTCGCGGAAAGTATCTGGGGAAAGGCGTCAACCGCAATCTCATCTACATTGATCATATGCTGGGCGGTCCATAGCTATCGTCGCCGCCGCTCTATGGAATTGAAGTTGAGTAGTGGGAGGAACAACCACACTTAACGTGAGCTTACCTCTCATATGTACGTGTTGTTAATTATACTGTCAGTGGCTGAAAAGGCTTACTATTGTAGGAAAGATTTTTGGAAGCACCACCAATGTTGGAGCCTTAGAGCATCGGAAGGACGGGTGGACGACGAGGATATCAATATCAATATGAATACAATGCCGGCAAAACTATTCTCCGACCACGCGCTGCGCGATGCCGTCACAGAACCCCCAAGGCTTCTTCCCATGAGAGCATCTAAGCTCCATCTCACCTCCTCACCTCACCTCACCAACCTCAAATCTCGAAACCAAGCCCATAACTTTTACAACACCTACCAATCATGCCCCCCAAACGACCCACCCAACAACTAACCCACTTCCTCGCCCTCCCCCTCCACACCCCCACCTCCCTCCCCCCCTCCACACGACACTCCGCACTCTCCCCCCAGCCTGCCCACACACCTCCACCCCGCCCTCCGCCCACCCACAACCCTCCACTTCACCCTCTGCGTCCTCGACCTCCGCGACCCCATCCGCCTCTCCACCGCCCTCTCCATCCTACGAACCCTCGACATCCCCCTCCTCTGGGCCATCGCACAGGGCCCTCCCGCCGCTGGGGGACAACTCCAGAAAGACGTGCGCGTCACGCTGAAGGGGTTGATGGCGACGAGGGACCCAGGGAGCACGAGCGTGATTTATGCGCCGCCGGTGGATGAGACGAGAGCACTCCAGCGATTCGGGGAGTTAGTCCGCTCGCATTTTGCGTGTTTGATCGGGCCGCCTCCTACGCCTCCTCCTACGCCCCCAGGAGCAACAGGGCCAGCACGGCAAGAGACTGTTATGCCGCCGCTGCCGAGGCCGTTGCCGAGGCTGTTGCTGCATGCGACGGTGTTTAATACGGTATATGTACCTGGGAGGAGTAGGAGGGATAGGCAGCGGGTGGAGATTGATGCGAGGGCGCTGATTGAGGCGTTTGGGGAGATGGTGTGGATGGAGAATATTAGGGTGGAGGAGCTGGTGTTGTGTAGAATGGGGGCGAAGGAGGTGGAGGGAGTGGAGAGGTATGTGGCGGAAGGGACGGTGGGGATGCCTTAGTTGGATTGTAAGGTGGGCGGTGCAAAATCTCCTTCTTCGTACAGCCCGAATTCTACTTTCTACCTGTTGACCTCCCTGGCAACTCTGAGAGGGAGACAATGCTTAAATCTTAGAGATCGCGGTGCACGAGACGTTCGCAAAGGATGCGCTTAAAGACATCCAGAAGCTCGCGGGGGCAGTGAATGCAGATGACGGCAGAGCGACGGAGAGTTCAAGCGGTTGTGCAAACGCGGAGTCAGTGTCCACCTACGAGCGAAGCGAGTAGGTGGCGAAAGCGAGTTGGGTATGCGAAAGCGAGTTTGGGTATGCATCAATATGATATACATATCTATGAATCAACGAGGTAATAGCGTAGTATTGATAGATAACTACCTGAACAATACAAAATTAACAGAGCTATTTTCACTATCTAAGCTTTGTACCCACTCATTTTCATCTTCGTCGTCGCTACTCTTATATGCCTTATACTGTAAGACCACTACAAGCGCCTTCAAACCATTTGCATTACGGTCTGCAACACGCTTACGCTCTGCTTTGCGGTCTTTAATTGCAAACCGCCTAGCCATATTTAGTAGCTGTTTTGCTACCTAAGCTGACTCTCATACATTTTTCGCATCCGCCTTTGCCCTTGCCTTTGCTTCCTTCTCTTCTCTTTTTGCACGTGATTCATGAGCATATAGTTGACTACCACTCTGTAAACTTTTCTGTGCCCGAGCCTTTGCCTCCCTTTGTTGAAATGTGCGGAGAGCAACAATATCAAGCTCTGTCTTATACAATTCTGCTTGGTGTAAAACCATTGTAGCCTCACGTGCAAAAGCTTCAAGTCCATGCCGACATGCTCAACCCCTTCTACTGTCTGCCTACTCATTTTAGGTGTCATTGTAATATTGTATGCAATAGGATCTTCATACTCTGGAGTTTCGTTCCTAGGATCCTTTAGTTTATCAATAACTAATTGTATGGCTAAAGTCTGTTACGATATCACGTGCGCCTTGCAGCTCGAGTAGGTGTTGGAACTGCATTCCTGGTAGTATGCTGCACATGCGTAGCCTGTATACCAACTGTGTATATATAGGGGCTTCGCCCCCCGTAGTTTTTCAATCAAGTCGTCAAACTCCAATTATGTGTTCAACAGGTTATGAGCCCGGGTTTAGCGCACGACGCGCTGCGCCAAAGACACATAATTGACGGCTTCCCTCATAGCTCTCGCAGGGAGAGAGCAGCTATGTTGTACGATAGGCGTACGAGTGGAGCGTATTTATCGCCATTACGGAAAGCCTTTGCTCATAACCACCAACTACACAGCGGAAGCAGCACCGAGTATAAGACGAGTGCAGGGCACACCAAGCAAGCGACTACTTTGAACAGGAGCTAGGGATAACTGTCGGAACTTCAGTTTTGGGTCAACTGAACCTCATTGATTGAGGCGTAGCCGGGACAGACCAGCCAGATTCGACACCATGAGGGTGCGCAAGCGGTTAACACCACCATAGCGATGGTGCGCAGGTAGCGGGTAGCGAGCGCGGTCATACTGTGGATAGGATGGGCTAGGAAAGAGGGATAGGCAGAGACTTGGGTTTAGAGGAACTAGAAGCAGGGGCGCTGTTGCAGAGGCAACATAGTACAGCGTAAGGGGCGTGTTGGAACTGCAATCCTGGTAGTACGCTGCACATGCGTAGCCTGTATACCAACTGTGTATATATAGGGGCTTCGCCCCCCGTAGTTTTTCAATCAAGTCGTCAAACTCCAATTATGTGTTCAACAGTAGGGTGTTGGAGGTAATTGCGGGGTATGGAGAACCACACACAGAATCGTGTGGTAATCTCCGGTCACTGTAATGAATCTCTTATGGGCAGCAGAACAGAGGCTTCAACAATAGAATAATATAATCAATTGAATTACTGACTAAACTACGGGTCTACGTACGCTATTTTTAGGCCTGGGGGAAACCCCCAAAAGGGGAGCTTTCCGGGGTTGGAGCGAAGTTTTCAGTTGTGGAGTGAATTCTCAAAACTGGTCTCGCTAAAGAGAATTCACTCCACAACAACATAGCTGTATATAGATCGAGCCACTGCTCGAGTGATCCTCTTCTCTTTCCTTCCTTCTCTAGATTGAGTTTAATTCATAATACCCAACTGGCGCCCTATGCCTGGTTGAACTGTGACATAAAACTCAATCTCCCTTATACCTCTTTTCCTGCTCTTCGAGCTGAACCCTCTTCTGAAATCGAAATCGAAATCCACTCTTTGGAAACCCCAGAACCAGAAACCTTATCCTGAAGTCGATTCCAGGACGATCTCGAGGGCAACCCCTTAAAGTTGGCTCTCCACAGTCAGCTAGACACACACACACCACCTTCACAAGTCAGACCTTTTACAATGCTCCCTCGACAAGGATATAACTGTGAGGGAAGTGCGCTCCTCTCGAGTGGCTCCTACGGCTGACAACTGCACAATAGGGCCTTTGGCTATATGTGTCTGACTTGACGATATGAACTGAAATTGAAATAGCAACTCGCTATGGCTTATACAGCTAAAGAGAAAGCTGCAATGGCAGCTCGAAATAATCCAGAACAAGACCAGGAATCCCTGGCAGAAGGAGCATCAATTCCGAGCTCTGCAAACCAAACCAATGAACTTCATGATCCTAATTTCAAATCCGAAACCTTCCTTCACACTCTGGGCAAAACAGCTCAGGAGAGACATGAATCTATACTTGCAAATTGACATGAAAAGGCTGAATGGAATGTTGAAACCTTTGACGAATTCCAGAAACTATCTGTCGCCAACCAGAAAATGGCATGGACTTTGCACAAGAACATTCTTCGGGACTATTTGGCCCTAGCAGAGGACTCGAATTTGATACTGGCTGAAAAGGATGATGCCATTCTCCAGTTACAGGAACTGATCCAGAGCAATGAGCAACAAATCACAGAGCAACAACAATTCAGAAATATCTTGAAAAGCAAACCCAACAAGCTTTGAAGAATGAACCAGGACACCACTCTCACAGTCGACTGTCAGCTCGGATTCCAGACCCTCCAATCCTCACAGATGGGATAGAGCCAGCATTTGAAGACTGGATTGTGAAAATTCGCCTCAAGCTCGAAGCCAACATTGATCATTTTCCAACACAGACTTTACAAATGAGCTACATTCAGAGTCGACTGGGAGGACTGGCAGTTCGACATGTCAATCCAAGGCTTCGACCAAACTCTACAAACAAACTGCAGACAGCAGAAGAAATTCTTGAACTTTTGGAAAAAGTCTTCAGTGATCCCAATCGAAGGCACACAGCTCAAACTGAGTATCGAAAGCTGTATCAGAGAAACAACACCTTTGCAGTGCTCTGGGCTGAGTTCCAAAGGCTCATGACAGAGCTTGATTACTCTGAAGAAACTTTGCTGGATGACTTGCGCTTCAAAGTCAACCAACAGATGCAGAAAGCCTTAGTGGCTGAAGTTGGAGCTACTACACTTCACGAGTTTGCAAAGAAATGCATGCTCATCGACCAGAACATCCAGCGGATCAAGGAACAAGAAGACAAAAGGAAGCCAAAGTCATTTTCGAACAACATAGGCCAAACTCAAAATCAGGGCCAGGCACTTCGAACTTCAATCCCTCAACCTACAATGGATTTGAACATGCAAAACAAGACACAGAAGCTGTATCGACCACCGCATCAAGATCCAGCAAAAGAAATGCTCATGAAACTTGGGAAATGCTTCATATGCCAACAAAATGGACATCGAGCTCGAGACTGTCCCCAGAAGCTCAAAGCTCAAGTGAATGAGGTATCTACAGCTGAGTCTATCATCGATTCAGAAAACGAATAGCCTCTAGACAAGTCATCACTAGAGGCAGTGCAGCCAGAATTGCAGCTTCTTCCTCAAGATCCAGTTTTGATCCGGACACCCCTTTCTTAGCTACTTGAGAATAGGAAAATACAAAGCTATTGTCCATGCATTGATCGATACTGGTGCCACAGGTGGAAACTTCATTAATGCTGCTGATGCAGAAAGAATGTGTGAAATCGAAGGGATAGCCCCAGTCGAACTTGTGAAGCCAAAACAAGTTGAAGGATTCAATGGAGAGGCTGCCCCTGCTATCACACATGCTATATATCCTCGACTACAAGTGGGAGAGCATGTGGAAAGCCTATGTCCATTATTCATCACTTCACTGGGAAAACATTCCATCATTCTCGGGAAAGCTTGGATGAAGCAACATGGAGTTGTTCTTGATATGATCAATGATCAAGTCCTCTTCACTGGAGATTATTGGAACCATTCTATACCAGATCGAGCCCTCGAAACAGAGCCTATATCGAAAAGCAAAAGACAAAGGGCAAAGAAGAAAGCCAAAGAAATGCCTCCTCCGGAACCTGCTCTGAAAGTGGAAAAACCAAAACCTTGCACCATAGCAATGATTGGCTCAACACCATTTCGAATGCTCATGAAGCAAAAAGGAGCTCAAGTCTTTGCTATATCAATAAAGGACATAATCAAGCACAAGAACAAGGCCAAAACTGAAGAAATCGACCCTCGACTGATCCTTCCGAAGGAATTTCATGAATTTTTGGATGTTTTTTCAAAAATGGCAGCAGACAAGCTACCTCCCCATCGACCTTCAGACCATCATATTAAACTCGAAGGTGATGTAAAGCTGGGATATGCACCACTCTGGAATATGTCAAAGGAAGAACTTGATTTGGTTGAAGAATATGTCTTCGAGCACTTGCCAAAAGGGTTCATTGAAGCAAGCAAAGCCCCATACTCTTCACCCATTATGTTTGCGAGAAAGCCAGATGGTGGTCTTTGATTCTGTGCCGACTACAGGAAGCTAAATGCCATAACGAAAAAGGATCGATATCCCATACCACTCATTGATGAAACGCTGGCCCAAGTCATAGGAGCAAAATATCTCACCAAACTGGACATTCGACATGCCTTCAATCGAATTCAAATGCAGACAGAAGAAGATAAAGACCTCACTACATTTAGAACTCGATTTGGATCCTACAAATACAGGTCATGCCCTTCGGACTCACAAATGGTCCAGCAACATTCCAGAGGTATATGAATGAAACCCTCATGGATTACCTCAACCAATTCGTCACCGCATACATGGATGACATTCTTATCTACAGTGATACTCGAGCAGAGCATACAGAGCACATAAGGAAAGTCCTACAGAAGCTTGGAGAAGCTGGACTGCAAGCAGATATCTCAAAATGTGAGTTTTTCGTCCAAGAAACCAAATTCCTAGGACTCATCGTGGGAGTCAATGGCATTCGCATGGACCCTGCAAAGGTTTCTACTGTATTGGAATGGTGAACTCCAAAATCGCTCAGGGATATGCAAGCTTTCATTGGATTCTGCAATTTCTATCGAAGGT